CCTTACATAATTCTCCCTTAATAATCATAGTTTCGCAACTTTCATTATTACAGTTATAATTTATATAATTCATAAAGGATTCTGCATCTAATTAGTTTAATATTTATTTTAAGCTATTAAACTTTTCAAATTTGTGAAATAAACCAAAAAAAAAATGATTAAAATCTTCTAGTAATTGAATCACATTTCTTTCTCTAATTTAGAAATAAATATGTAAATAATTTAATTAGTAAAAAAAGTTATATTTGTTTATATTAGTTAAACTATTACAAATTATATAAGCAAATGTCTAAAAGTAGAATTTTTAATAATTAAAAAAATGGATGTTAATATTTGTGTAAAAAAAATACATACTGGAAAAGTGATTGAAGTTGTCATAATTGTATGTAGTCATCAGTGGAAAGAATTTGACGGAACTTCGAATGGACTCAAGTTATGATGAAGACTTGAAGTATAATGAACGGTGGCAAAGGAGGAAACGCATCCTGCGGTTTTTGACGTCTGGTTTCTCTTTCTCTCTATCTCTTTCACTGTGTATCTGCGCAAGAAGAAGGACAAAACCGGACATACTAATAATTTTATAACAAATTCCATACATAATTCTCCCTTAATAATAATAGTTTCGCAACTTTCATTATTACAATTATAATTTATATAATTCATAAAGGATTTTGGACTAATGCACTAATTGGTTTAATATTTATTTTAAGCTATTGAACTTTTCAAATTTGTGAAATGAACCAAACAAAAATGATTAAAATCTTCTAGTAATTGAATCACATTTCTTTCTCTAATTTAGAAATAAATATGTAAATAATTTAATTAGTAAAAAAAAGTTATATTTGTTTATATTAGTTAAACTATTACAAATTATATAAGCAAATGTCTAAAAGTAGAATTTTTAATAATTAAAAAAATATATATGTAAATATTTGTGTAAAAAAATATTATTGAAATACATGCTGGAAAAGTGATTGAAGTTGTCATAATTGTATGTAGTCATCAGTGGAAGGAATATGACGGAACTTCGAATGGACTCAAGTTATGATGAAGACTTGAAGTATAATGAACGGTGGCAAAGGAGGAAACGCATCCTGCGGTTTTCGACGTCTGGTCTCTCTTTCTCTCTCTTTCACTGTGTGTCTGCGCGAGAAGAGTGTATTAAACTTTTCCCTAATTCGCGAAGTGTCGAGACTAAAAGTCGACCTACACCACGACGACGACGGCGACGACGTCCTCGATGCCGACGCCCCAAAAGCAACGGGTGCGAGCGAGAGAAAGAGAGAGAGAGAGAGGCCGAGATACCGAGTTCCTTAACTAGTTCAGCGCAAGTTGGAAAGAGAAAGTGCAAAGAACGTAAGTGTAATTTGTGTTGGCGAAGTTTAGGGCCAACTTTGGGTGGTGGTGGAAGAGGATGGCGGAGCAGGCAGTTCGAAATTATAAAGTTCAACTTTTTATAGGCTGACACATAAATTTCGCACGCGCGAAATCGATACAAAAGGGAACTCTGTTTACCAAAAAAAAAAACAATCCTCCGAGTTATGCCTTCCTTCTTTTGTATATTTTTTTTTCAAAAAATTCCTGCAGAAAATGTGTGTATGTGTGTTTTTTTTTTTGTTCTGCTGAGGGATCCAATAAATTCGGTGGCGATTTGGAGTCCGTAATTAGAAAAGTTCCATGGCATGTTCCCTATCGCGATTAGGAATATCAAGTGTATAAATCTGAAGGGCTCCGATATTCACGGACGTAATTCGGCGGAAGGTTTGCCGCCTGATTTTTCCGGTCTACGTTTCTATATGTTTTTTTTCTCTCCTCCCTTTCGACCCTTTTTTTTATACGCATACACACGTATCCGGGGGATAGGTGAATGTCGAGTTACTTAAATCCTTCGGGGCGAGGAGCTGCGAAGGAAGGGCAGGACTGAAGACCTCCGTCGTCTTCGTCGACGGTGGCCCTCCTCCATATATCACGTACCCTGTATAACACGTATGGTAGATAAATCACCGAGGTCGCATGCTGCTGCACCAACGTATTTTTTTTTCTCTTCCTCCTCCTCCCGTTTTGCTGTTGAACCTCTTCTCCAAACTACATTCCGATAACCATAATTCATTCCTGCCCAACAACAATTTCCACATCAAAACTCCATTACACGTTTAAATCCGATTTTCACTCCCTACCTCCCTTTTCACACCTCACCCATATCCAATAAGATTCATATCCCAACAACGCATAACAATTTTTTTATAAATTTATTCCACAATTTGTCTTAACTTTAATTTTCATCAAAAAAATATGATCTGTAGTCCTTATGCAATTATTTAATTAGTTTAGTTTTGTCTATTTCTTATTTTATAGAACTATTGCAATAAACAATATTACTTTTTTTTTATAGAAAAACAATTTATCAAACTGACTAAAGTATATTATTATTAATGACCGTATTAGAATATATTGATTACGAATTTGGATACTTTTTATAAAAAATCATTGAGAAAATTATTACATTTAATATAAATTTATAGGAAGATTTCCGATGGGAAATTTAATTTTCTTTTGTAATTACTTATGTAATTTTCTAATTATTGCAATGAAGACGTATTGTTAATCACTCTTTGCTTTTTATTAGTTATTTTAATTAGAATTATGTGAACATTGAGTAAACTTAACCATTCGTTTATTAGTCGCCATAGAATTATATATTTAATTCATTTTTACTAATTTCTTATAACAAATATAGAAATAAAGATTATTCTTATTTTAAATTATGTATAAAGCAAATATATGCATTTTTTTACTTATATAATAAACATAAATATGTAAATATTATACATACACATTACATAATTGAGCTTTATTTAATTGTTAATAAATAAAAGTTACAAAATTTATCCTGGCGCTTCCACCAAACTTTACGTTTTATACTATGATTATTAAGTATATTTTATGAAATTCCCTAAAATATATATGAACAAAAAAAATAGAGAACATTGAACGCTGAGTGAGGAACGTAGCTTCTATTGCGAAAAAAAAGGATATTTCCGTTTCGTGAAATAAGTTTTGTCAATTCTTTATAAATATAAAAGAAGTTAATTTTAAAATTTACATAATATAACTAATTGTAACGTTTTTTTTTGATAATTTTAACTAAATTTTGTAATATAATCATAACAATAATTATTAGTATTAATAAAGGTAGAAATACATTTCTACGATCAAAATTAAAATTTATATCTAATTTGATCATTTTTGAGAATAAAACGTTTAAATTATAAATAAATTAATATCTTGTTAACAGATACAAATAGTTTTGTTTTTAATACAATAATGACTTAATTAGAGAATAAATAGAGAATCTAGACTCTATATAAATTTATGTTAGAATTTGATTTAATTCTACTATTTTTGAAAAATTAAGTGTATATTTCAACTAACTTAATAACTAATAAACACATCAAGTTTTATGATATAATATTTACGTAATTTCGAAGTAAATATATAATATTAGTAGTAATTCAATGTTATTATACAGCTTTTTACTATATTGTTTGCATATGAATGTAAAATTTGTGATTTATTGTTGCTTTGTGAGGCAAATTATATAGTAAATTTAAATTTCTAAAACTTGTAGACTTAAGTATATCTAAATGATCTAAATATTACAAAAACTACAGTTAAAATTACTTTTGAAATTTGTACATCTAAGAATATATATTGGATTTGATACTAACAGATCTATAATATAAGTAGTAATTTAATGTAATTATACAGCTTTTTACTATATTGTATGCATATGAATGTAAAATTTTTGATTTATTGTTGCTTTGTGAGGCAAATTATACAATAAATTTAAATTTCTAAAACTTGTAGACTTAAGTATATCTAAATGATCTAAATATTACAAAAACTACAGTTAAAATTACTTTTGAAATTTGTACATCTAAGTATATATAATGGATTTGATACTAACAGATCTATAATATAAGTAGTAATTTAATGTAATTATACAGCTTTTTACTATATTGTTTGCATATGAATGTAAAATTTTTGATTTATTGTTGCTTTGTGAGGCAAATTATAGAGTAAATTTAAATTTCTAAAACTTGAATATCTAAATGATCTAAGTATTACAAAAACTACTTTTGAAACTTGTAAATCTAAGTATATATAATTTGATACTAACAGAAACTACAGTATTAATAACTTTTATGTTGAAAGTAAAGTAAAAACTTTTATTTCAAAGTATAACAAAAAAAAACTACAGAATTAATGTGAATTGAAATACAAAAATAAATGATAAACTATGAGATGTGTTTGATGCAAAGAAATTTAATCATGGAGCATCTGTGTATGTAGGCTAGCTAGGAATGCGGGGGTCTGATTGAAATCCAACAGCAGGATAGAGAGGAAAAAAGGAAGAATAAACAGGAGGCAGTAGGAAGAGGGAACAAGCTTCCCCCTTCTTGATCTCACCCTTCTAATTTATATATCAGTCAGTACACTCAGTCGAACACACGCACACACACACACACACACATGCACATATCAATAAGATCGTACGTGTATACGAATTGGATACACACATACTGTTAGAAAAGAGAGACAAACATGAGGCACAGGCAATGCTGGAGGAATCTGCATTAGGTTCTAAAACATGAGGGCAGTCGAAGAACTGGAGGTCCTTGGAAGCGGTGCCTATCGCGAGGGGAAGGTTCAGCCGAGGCCGTAGCCGCACGCGGGGGCAGCACACACTCACATCCTCGCAGATGAGAGGGTGTGCGTGCGTGTACATGTAGATGTAGGAACGCGCGCGCTCGTCCTTTCCAGAAAAGGGGGGTTGCATTTCGGAAAGTTTGCGCGCGCGTTCCTGCTTGCATCCTTACGCGCGCAGCAGGATAGGGTCCCGTTATCCTTCCAAGTCCTCGACGCTGCAGTTGCACTGCTGCGCGTGTTGCCTACGCACGACGCCCCAGTCGCGTTTCGAACGCCGTCGCGAACGCACACGTTTATATATATAATATACATACATATATATACAAAATATACACACACATATACCTACAAAAAAAACATCGAAAAAAACTTCTTTGCAAAGTGTTAACTGATTTCCGAAGAAAAGTTTCCTTGCGACGAGCATGAAAAGACAGTTTGTTCTCTGTTGGTTTAGCACAGTGTGACTTAGTTCAAATGACCAACAGAAACTTGACGTTAAGTGTTTCACTGTTTTAAAACATGTTAGAGACTGCACTACAGACAAGGTAAAAACTCATATTTCTAATACAAAAATATATTTTTATTACTGTTAAAATCCATATAAGAACAACTTATATAAGATTAGAAATATTTAACATTCAACCACAAGTGTTTCTTAAATATAAATATTTTTTTTACTAATTTGCCTTTAATATAATAAAACTACTAACAAACAGAACTACTAACAAATGAAACACTTACAATCATCAATCCAATTGGAACTATAAAAACGTTTACTTGAAATTTGCTAATAATATATAATTATATTATATTTAACAGGAATTTATTCTATAAGATTTTTTTTGTTTCAGTGATCATATTTCAATAAATATTAAACTTTGTATTTTATATATTGAATTGATGTCTGCAATTTAACATTTTTTGAATCCTTTAAAATACTGTAAATATTTGATTCTTTATTGCATTGCAATAGAATTTTATTCAAAATAATTCTAAATAATAGTTTGAAATGAATCTTACTAATTTGGTCAATAATTGCATATTCTGTTATATAATTCTTTTTTATTTTGATAACAAAATAATTACGATAGAAAGAAATTTTTATACTGAAAATCATAACAAATAATTTCAAAAAATAGAGGTAAAAATTTAAATTATCGAAAAGTTATAGAATTTGACTACATATAAAATTTGATATTTTATCTTTATATAACTTCTATATATTATATAGTTAAGAAAATATAATTATATAAGAGTTATATACAAAATAATATTATACAAAGTTTAGTAGATATTAATATAATAACAATAATATTAATTGTATTTAAATATTTGTATTAAGAACTTAAATATTACTAAAACTCCATAAATGAAAGCTGAAATTAATATAGTTATGAAATACATAATCAGAAGCGTGCGATATTTTATTTTGGTGATAGTTTAATGATGAATTTTGTACCTGAACATTGGCCGACGCGAAAAATCGCCGCGTTTCGAAGCAGGTTTCTTGCTGAACTGTGCGTTAAACTTATTTGGGGGTAGTGCGAAGCGCATTTAAAATATCGTTGCAGTTTACCTAAATTCACTAGTTATTTTCATAGAATCATTAAAAAAAAATGTATATATTTATTTCCTAGAAAAATAATTAGTTTCTACCTAAAGTAAAATTATTATTTATTAATATTAATTGAACTCAATATAAAAAAAAATAATGATGTATTGCGAGTTGGGTCAAATTTAATATTTAATTTGAAAATATAGTTGTAACAATTTTTGTGTGCAAACGTTAATAACTTTGTTATATTTACGTATAAAAAACTAATAAATGTAATAAAATATATTAGTTGTTAAAATATATTTGATATTGAAAATTTGATGAGTTTATTAAATAAAATGTATATAATAATTAAAAAGGCTATAGAATCATGTTTTTGTATAATATAGCTTTTATTGTGATATAATGAATTGAGGATATAAAAGTTTGCTCCATTAAATATATCAAAAGAAGATAAGTCTTTCTTTGGCAGAATGAAAAGAGCAACAATGTCCTTATTAAAGTAGATTTAGAGTGAATGTAGGAAGGAAGTACATCGATTCCACCTAGATAATTCTTCGCGTTAAAGCTGTTATCTTCTTAATGTAAGTTGAAAGTATCGCGGTTTGTGTAACCGGAGGGAGATCCAGTTTTCGGACGAAATACGAACTCGTGCGAATGATTCGGGCGAAATCCCCCGCAATTCCTGTGCACTACAGATAGCTAAAGTATCCCAGGATAATGCGTTTAATCCGGGAGCGCTTTAACTTTAGAACATCACACTTTCTTCTTCGGCCCGGCCAAAATTTTCGACTTAAACACACACACATACATACATACATATACGAACATCCTAAACTGCCGCCGCCCCCGCATCTACGAAACGAGCCGGCACTAAATCCACCCTAACTCTTGAACCACTCCACACTCGAAGTAGTGATTTCGATCAAAACGAATCCCAGCCAGGTTCAGATCATACTATGTTTTATTTTGTGCTCTTTTATAGATCAAGTCGAAATTTTGGATTCGCGCAAGTGAAGAAGCGTAAACTGGACGATAATCCGCCGAGCATGTCAACGAAAACGTACATCGAGTTGAAGGACGACAAGCGACGAAAAAAGGTGGAGGAGTCGCAGCTGATGCTGCCGCAGAAGAAGCGAGTACTTCCAGTTGGTACGCTGAGTAGTCCTTCGGCGAAGAAGAGCTTGAAGCTAGATGAAAATGTAGCAGATGAGAATCTGATCAGGGAGACGGAAGCAGCGCTGAAGACGTTGTCCGGGAGTTGGCCTGGGAGCAGGGCTTATAATAAGCAGGAGGAGAATCCGGCTTTCGAGAATCTGTTTGACGAGAAGAAGGCGAGCGTTAAATATTCGCCGACTTCGTCGACGACCAGCAGCAACGATAATACCTGCTCTTTGAAGGATATTATCACGTTGAGAGATCCGCAGGTTGAAGACGAGATGGGGTTGAAGAGGATCAAGATTAAGCAGGAGGGCGACGACGATTCCGATTGCGATAGCAGCAAATCGAAGCAGAGGATTAAGGACCAGTACGAACCACCGGATTTCAACGAGCTGGTGGACGATTCCTCCAACGAGTTGGAAATAGATATGTCGGAATCGCTCAGAGAAGATCAGGATGAGAAGAAGAAGGAGGAGTACCAGCCGTTCCTGAGGCCAAGCGTGACGACGTCGTCGCCGTTTTCGAGCACTTCCGCGTTTCGACCACCGCAAAGTAAATCTGGTGTGCTGGGACCTTATCCGGCGGAAGCCACGTTTGTGGGTTATCCTGGAACGCAGCAGCAGCAAGAGGAGAAGCCTAAGTTACAGCAGCTGAAACCAACTGAAGATCCAGTTATTACCACTTCGGCCGCAGCCCCTTCGAGCATTAAATCACCGGAGGGCACTGCGAATAAACAGTACACGATATTGCAGCCAGCGGGGGTGGCTTCAAGGGCGGCCAGCGCTCTGCAGGAGGCGGCGAGGGACGCTCCGACGGTACCTGCGGTGCCCAGCGCCAAAGACCCGATACCAACCACCAAAGTCCTACCAGGAACTCTATCACCGAACAGCCTAAATCGTGGCGGTGAGTCCTATTTACTTACTACTACTACTATTATGATTTTCTTAAAATTAACGCATTTTATTTAACGTTACGTGAAACATTTTTTCATTTCGTCATTGGGATTGAGCCGTTATGCGCGGTGCTTGGGTGTGTGTAGTGGGCGGGGGGTGGTTCTCAGGATAAAAATGTGAAAAAAACAAGTAAAAGAAGAAAGTAGGGCTCGAGGAGTGGGGTTGGTTTTTTCGTTGGAGGCGGCGGCTCTTGGGGGTGGCTATACTTCTCTCTCTCTCTATCTGCTAGTACGTGTATATGTGTGAGTGGGGGGCGGGTGGTGTGTTTCGCGTTTTGGGGGGTGGACTTCCAGGATCCGAAGAGTCCTAGTCCGCAGGTGCGGTGACCGACTATATCGGCGCACCCGCGCACCAGTCTCCCATTCAGGGGCTGCGGTTTCTTTTTTCCAAAAAAGATTTTTCTCGCGAGTCTCCACCCGTTCGTGCGCGGATAGGCCAGGATCGCCGGGGGCGGAGTTCCGTCCGCATCAAGAAATACTTATATTCTTACGCGTTCACATGTACATAGATAGAGGTCTGGGGGGCAGGCGCGGACCTCCGACGAAGAGGAGCAAAAAAAATATTATATATGTATATATGTGTATGTGTGTGCAGACCAACCCCCCACCGCCGCCCGAAAGACCTCCTTCGCTCTCTCATCCATCCCGCCGCCACCGCCGCCCCTCGAACACATACACACTCACACCTACCTACATTATGTACATGCATACGTACATACTACAGTAAATATAATATATAGATGAAAAAAAAAGTTATACATTTATTTATTTGCCCCTTCGCTCCACACGTACATATTTATATACCCGGCACCTCCACCCAAAGCAGACTTTAAGCTTCGTCAGCTAAAAAAAGAGAAAGAAAACAACTACGTAATACACCCACCATTTTTTACTTTTGATTATATTCAGGTTAATCAATAACTTGTCATAATACTTATTTATTTATTTCATATATTCGAAAATCGAAATGATTACATGTTTTCTTTAATCATAAATGATAACACTTTTATACAATATTACGAATCTTATTACCAGCAACAAATTTCAAATATGTAATAACATTTCTATTGCAAATTGAACGACTTGATTTCCAAATCATAGTAAAAGTAGATATGTATAAACAAGATTACTGAAAGTAAATTTTAAAATCATTAAAATTTAATCACACAATATATACTAATTTTTTTATAAATTATTAAAATGAAATTTTCTTTGAAAATGTCTATGATTTTGCGATGAACTTAGTATTCTGAAATCTGTAAATTGAGCGATAGCCGAAAGGGAACCGAAGGACGATTAATTAATTCCGACGAATTAACTCTGTTTGCAGAAGGGAGCAAATGTCCGACTCCAGGTTGTAATGGTCAGGGCCACGTGACCGGATTATATTCGCATCACCGAAGGTAAGACGCCTCCTCGATATCTTCCACCTTAACCAACTCCATCCATCCCTTACTCCATTAGCTATCTATCCAACATCATCTCACCACAAATTCAATTCGCAAAAGGTGTTTAATCTATTCGTTTCTCTATTCAGTCTGTCTGGATGTCCGAGAAAGGATAAAGTTACTCCAGAAAGTAAGTCTTCACTAAATTAACTTAACATAAGCATTATTACATTTGATCCACCCCGTTTCGCTTTTATTTTATTTTAATTATCATACAAGAAAAGTAAAAGTATTTTTTTCTAATATGTCGATTTCCTTTCGTTCGAAAGAAAACTCTGAAACACTTTTGCCTTTCTTGATTCTGTACTCTATGTATGATGCATAAAGTATGGAAGCTTTAGACGTTTTGCGGGGTAGAGAGCTATTTTGTTTATGTTTTAGTTAAATTGTTTATTTTATTTAGTCCCGCATTATTTTAGTAGTATCTGTATAGTTTGTACGCAGCAGAATCAAATATATGCATTGAGTATAAAAACGATGAAAACGTAATATATTAACTTGTTTTCTCTCTACCCGGCCGAATGGATTTGATTGATCAATTTAACTGTATCTTATTTATACTTTGATGTTTCTTTATACCTTTGATTGACTTTATACTCAATGATTATTTTTGATTCTGTGGTGCTGCGCAGTCTTGGCGATGCACGAGACAATTCTGAAATGTCCGACGCCCGGTTGTAACGGCAGAGGTCACGTGAGTTCCAACCGGAATTCGCACAGAAGTCTTTCCGGTTGTCCCATAGCCGCAGCAAATAAGCAGGCGGCGCGGGAGCACAGGTACCAAAGCGGGTTGCAACAGCGACCCAGCAAATCGCCGAGCCACGACCATATGGTCAACCCATATGGTAAGGATCTCGGAAACGCTCTTGCTTATATCCGGAATTATTATTAAGATATGTTTTGTTAAAAGTGATTTTGTTTTGTCCGCAGTGATGTCCTGCCAGGAGGATTACACCACCAGCTACGATAGCAGCAAAGACGATGTTAAACCGACTTACTTGATAGGTTACGGTTCGGTTTCCAGCACAAATCAAGACGCGGAAAGCAAAGATTTCGATTACTACAGCAAGAACCATTTAAAGCCTGACGGTAAAGTTTCTAAGGGTGAGAGTTGCGGGGTAAGCAGTCGCGGCGATCTTCTTGTACCGAAGACGGAGTCAAATCGTTCTTCGCCGAACGTGAGAAATTACGGGGATTACATTAACCAGGACTCGAATTCCTCTTCGATGTCCAGCGTGGAGACGATGAGCTCCAGAGGTCATCACCATCTGCAGCATCATCCGATTATAGCGCAGCACGTCGGACAGCAGCCGGGATACGTGGAGGACTCTCGCCACAGGTCGCCGTACCAATCGGAAGATATGTATCGATCAGAGCATTCGGTGCGCTCCTACACCGACATGAGCGATGCCATTGGTAGCGGAATAGCACGTCCTGTGGTTACCTACTCCAATGAGCTGACCGGCCGGAGCTACGATGTTAATTCATCCAGTCACAGGCCCTACGATCCGGGCACTTCGACGGCCTTCGAAAGGTACGATTCAGCAAATCAATGCAACCTACAGCAATCCCTCATAGCGCCAAGGGCAGCGCAGCAAGGGATGTACGGATACGGGAGCATCGAAGATCAACAGGAGCCCAGGTACCAACCGGACTCGCAGATCGGAGGACCGAATCCTGCTGCCGGTATGATGAAAACCGAAGCAGACGTCGAGAGTTCCGTGCCACTATATCCAAGGTATATTTTTCGATGAAAATACTTGAGTTTTATGAGTTCTTTTGTTGTTTATTCCCTTGGTCAACATCGAGACTAATATCTGCTTGTGTCTCTTCCCCCATTCTGTTTTCCAGGCCCATGTACCAGTACGATACAACCACGGGACATGTACCTGTGGGCTTTTCGGCAATAAACCTATCGGTAAAATGCGTAACAACAGCACAGGCACAGATGAAGGGCGCCGGACCCCACACGTCCCCCGGGGGCTCCGTTATTGATCTATCAACATCCAGCATCACCACCACAAGTCCACAGGTTTGATATTCTTTATAGACCATCATCTAAAAAACAATAACCTTTCATAACACCCTTTATAATTAAAACCACTTAATTACAATCAAATTCCAAGGAAACAATAAAAGAATAGATTTCAAACAATAATAAAATCAAATTCTCTCTTAATTTGATAATCTCAGAATTGTTTAAATATGAACAGAAAAAATATACAAATTCAATTAAGATTCTTATTTCGTAAATGGATAAGCCGGGACAATTAAGTAAATCATGGATAATTAAAATTGCAGGGATCAGCATGCACGCTGTGTGTATGTTTGGTTTTGCTGTGTGTGTGGGGGGATGAGGGTGGTTGTTTTGCGTGCGAGCGGACGAAGTGAATGTGTGTAAATGGGATCGTGTGCAGGGGGGATGCGAGGATGAATGGTTGGTTTGGGGGTAGAGAGGGAATCCCTTTTGAATAAGTAAAGCCGCAGTAATGAGTTGATATGATAATTGTGTTTCAGGTGGCGTACAGCTCCCCACATTACGGTGGTCAGCGAGTCGGGGGCAGTCCGCAAGCCGCCGCGAGCCCTCACCTGTCTGCAAGCCCCCAGGTCCCCAGTCCGCAAGGCCAGACCCTGGACCTCAGCGTTAGCAGGCTTTCCCACAGGTCGGTCACAGCTCCAATTTATTATTCATGAATACCAAATACTATATACATACATACATACTTCTGCGAGTGCGTGTATACATATGTGCTTTATGAATATATACATGCAGACAACGCTGCCTCTCTATGCCTCCAAACTCTTCAAAGGTACAAATACAGTAGATTTTACTAGTTGTGGCCTAGATGCTGGTTCTTTATTGAAGTAAAAACAAGCTTATTTACCATTTTCCGATAATAATTGTTGGAATAATTGTAAAAGCAATGTATTTGTACGTTTCTTCTGTTTTGGTAATTAGAGAATGGCGATGCTGTATGATTAACGGATTAGGTAGAACGATTAGTGCATTACCGGACTTGATTGAACACTGACTATTGTTATATTTATTTGTAAACGATGATTACTTGCTGATCAATGAAGATCGTATAATGATTACTTAAAAATAAATAAAACTAGGGAAGCTTTGGTCCGGTAAAAGAGCATTGTTTTTTCTCCTCCAGCAGTGATGCGAGTCCCCAGTACGGAGACGGGGGGGTACCTATACCGGTACCACCTGCTTTCGTAGGCGTCCGCCGCGAAGAACAAACGGAACCCGTCGATTTCTCAACCGCTAACGAACCCGTTAATTTTAGCGGCGTCCGACCCGTGGCGACGTTCGCAGGACCCGTCCTCGCCCCAGGATCAGGATACAGCAGGGAGTCCACGCCGGACAGCGGAGCCTCGCATTACATGGACGCGTACCGGGACACCTCAGGTAAGAGAGAGAGCAGCCGCCACCTTCGACGAGCAGAGCTGACCGATCAATCTCTCCGACAGCTTACGGACCAATGAGTCCTCATCCTGGCTATGGGATGACAACCGTCAGCGCTGACTACCCAACAAATCCGTACACTCCATACACAACGGGATACTCCTGCGCCGGAGGATATCCGAGCGCCGTCACCACCGGTTATCCTGTTCCACCTGGAGGATATTCTCCTGGACCCTGCTACTCAATGCCGCCCCCTCAGCATTCCATCGCACAGCACGACAAACCACCTAACAAGGACACAGGGTAAGATTGCAATCGAACCACATATTTCCCTGACAAATCACTGCGCTCATTCATTCATTTCATGGTATTCGCTTAATCTTATATTCTGGCTCACATTCTACCTCTACCCCTTACATAAATAACGGATAAAGCGGTTATTGACCAAACAAGCACATTCAAATCGCGTTACGCTCGTCAATGAATCTACCTGTGCGTTACATCATCGCCGCCGCCCTCGACACTTAAATAATACCTACTTCTCCCTCAACATTCCAAGCAATATAGATCCAACTTACTTTTTCGATCATTCTCACTCTCAAATAGTAATAGTAAAATCATATATTACATGATTTTAAAATTAAAGTATACAAGGACAAATTAAGCCATGTTACTCTAGTTTTACTAGAACTCTTTATTTATCAAAAAATACACAGCAATACATTACTTAACTGTCGATTATATAACATTAAAACAGAGTTAATTAATAGTTAATAGTAATAGTTAATAGACTGTGAGTCAATCTGTATATGTTCATAATAATCATCTTTAATGATTGATTACGATTTGGAAATTTAATTCATTAATCATAAATTACTAGTGAAGGAAATATTAGACATTTATCACTACACAATCAATCTTGTTATACTTAATTAAACTAATTAAAAATCGAGCATTTGTTTGTCAAGAAAAAAAAAATTGAGATAAACAACAATATCATTTATTATTTATTTTCTTAATTAATTGTATATTTATATTGATTAATTTGTTAATATGGTAAGAAAAAAAAATTATGAAGATTTCTAAATAATTTACAGACTATTGATTATATGAATAGGCAACCCAATTTTAGTTTGTTTGAGAGTATTTGTAGTTGTTTAAGAGGTGTAATTATAATTATTGTTATATAATATTTTTATTATCATTTTCAATAGTTTGTATTTTGATTTTTATTCAAGAAACGAGAAGTATAAAGTAAATAATAATTTCTATAAAGTTTGTGGTAGGCAACCAAACTTACACCTAATGGAAATTTGAAAATTACAATAACGTGTAAATGTTTAAAAGTACGTTTTAAAGTACTTGAAACTTGTTTTAAAGTTTTCAGTTTCAATTTAGAATAATGTTAAAAGTTATTTTCAAATATTTGGCGTCGATGGAACAGTTTATACCTGAAAAATTAGGGTGAATAAATTAATATTTGCGTGTGAAAAGAAGTTGTTTGGTGAATCATTTCTGTTAGTTGTTTACTAAAATTTTCACAACAATATTGAATTGTATTGAACAAAACAATTATTGCAAATCAGCAAATATTGTAAGTGAGTGATGTTGATGGAAAATAACTGAAGTTAAAGTGTTCGTTGAAGACTTTCACAAAGCAGATGGTAAAGCTAAAATAGAGGTATCCAGTAGTTTATGGGAGGTGACCTCCGATGGAATCTGGCCAATCGGCAGCTGCGGTTTGCTCAACTACTCCTTTTTCTACCTTCCAGGAGTTTCTTGGAATGTATTCCGAAATTGACGCGAAGAGAGAGAAATAACAAAAGATGTATCAGCGAAAAATCTAGTCTGGCCAGTGAGTCACGTGGATTTATCAGTTCCGAAACAAACGAGCGCGCATACACACGACGTTCGTTCTTTTTATCTTGGCCTTGAAACCATGATACCACGATTATTACAAACATGGAACAACGTACCGAGTCATACGTACGAATGCACGCATAACATTACCACTGTTTGTGTCAGCATTGACTAAAAATAAACGAGAGGCGCGCGCTTACTTCCTCCAAGTAGTTTGGAGGTACACGCATTTGCGAACAGTCTTCAGTTCAGTTGCTGTCGGTACATTAGTTTCACTCAAGTTTTTGGAAAGTTTTGTGACTACGTTCGGAGGATGTACGGAAGAGACTCGGATTCCTCGTCTCCGGAAGATTACGATGATGAAACCGATGAGTATAGGTAAAAAGCTGCATTCAACTATCTTTACATAATTTGTGCTACGCTTAATCAGAGCCCATCCACATCAATTAAAGTGCAATGATGAGCGTCTATGGTTAATAGAGAATTTAATAATAAACACAGTATACAAGTTTCAAAGTTGTGTGTATTATTTAACTGTATGCAACCAAATTAACTGGCAATTACGTTTCGTTAGGAAAACCGTTTTAATTACAGCACCTATGTACTTGTAGTCTGTACAAAATGCGGTTCCTCATAGTTCAATTAATTTTTGACCTAATTAACGTTCAATTTCATCGCTAATTACTTATTACAAGAAACAAAAAAAACATTTCAAAACTTTAACGTCAAAAGTTTTACAACAACTAAATTGAGTTTTTAATAAAGTCACTTTTTAACTTCATAGAAAATAATAAAGACCATTTACTTAACAGTAAATATCTTCAAAATAATGATTTACTAATTTTAGATCATTAAAGGAAGTCAAGTTGACTTCAAGAACAAAGAAACTCGATTTTAATGTAATTAATATTAAGTTAGGACATTACATTATTAAATAAGCTAACATTGGATCCATCAAATATTATATAAGTATATTTAATAGAAACTTCTGTATAATTATTGAAATATAATCATAACCTCACTTATATGTTTCATGTAAACTAATAAATATTTCTCTTGAGGAAGAAATGAAGTTTTTCGGATCCAAATTATATAAATATTTACGGTTGTAAAATGTTGAGTAAATATACAAATTGAGTCTGGAGAGGAAAATCAATAGAGTTTAGTCTGTTAATAAAAGTATAAAGTTTTTATGGAGAAGTTTATTGGGTCTGCAGTTAAACGAGATGTAGTAGTAGGTTATAAAATAATACTTGTTTTAACTCCTGTTGCGTTGTGTATGCAAATTGTTTTTTAAAGGTTTTTGTTTTATTTAACAAATACTGAATGTGGATTAGAAAGTTTTCTAAATTGTAGGCAACGCAAATTGCATAATGGCGGGAAAGAAGTACAGAAAAGGGGATGCTGAGTGGAATTCGGACTCTTGGGATGGATGGTAGACGTAGGGTGAACGTTAGCAGTTGATTGAGGTTAAGTTACATAAAGGGATGTGTGGCAAATCGAAGTGGTCAATTGTTCTTGTAGTTTCAACCATTGATCTTGCACTTCTTTGAAAACTTATCGATCGGTGATGAATGCTCGTGTGTTAACGAAGTAGGGAGCAATGGTCGCTCTCCGATGATATAGTTAAGAGCGGCCTCGGGTTTGACGGCATATCAATTTGCATCCCCTCTGTACAAGGGGAAACAGCGATGGCAAAGAGTTGATTCAGTAACCCTCCGTTTGCTGTGTCGGTATGGATCATGCTTCTGGCAACTATGATGATATGCACAGAAGGTGCGCGTAAACGTTCGCAAAGTGACCACAAACTTTTGAAACTTTACAAACAATTAACTAAGAATATTAGCTGATATTGCGTAATCTTTAAGTAAAACTTTTAAAAGTTCCATGAAAACTTCGCTCTGCAAATTCTAAGCTCTTTGTTAATTTACTTTGTTTGCTTTTGTCAATTATGAACAGTTTGTCGGGATGTCCACGTTCGGATCGCTCCCAGATCCAAGCGCATTCGCAGGAGCTGAAATGCCCGACACCTGGATGCGATGGTTCCGGCCACGTTACCGGAAACTACTCTTCGCACCGGAGTCTCTCCGGCTGCCCCAGAGCCAACAAACCGAAGAGCAAACCCAGGGATGGCCAGGACTCCGAGCCACTTAGGTAATTAAAAAAAACTCCCATCTTCATCTTCTTATCCTAAGGTACTTTAACCGACCAACTTGAGTCAAAATCAACAACAATACATCTACAACCCCGGGGGGTTACTGCAATGTGTGGAAAACTCTAACAAGCTTCAACTTTTTTTCCACGCCTACTCTAGATGCCCGATTCCGGGCTGCGATGGTTCGGGACACGCAACTGGCAAATTTTTGTCACATCGAAGGTAAATTGAATCTACCAAAACCCCCCCACTAAAACAAAGCAAAAAATAATTAGCAAAGCAAACATATAATAAGCATATAATTAAATCAAAACATGCAAACATTTACAATCATCGTCATTACTTGAGCGATGTGTGTGTGTGCATTTCTGTGTGCGTGCATGGCGTTATTTTGAAATAATGTAGCTTGTAGTTCTTAGTCGCAAGTTGCCGATTTAACTTGTTCTTCTATTGTTGTGCAGCGCGTCCGGATGTCCGATTGCGAACAGGAACAAAATGAGGGTGTTAGAAAGTGGCGGCAGCGTTGAGCAGCATAAGGCGGCTGTGGCCGCCGCCACCGCCCTCAAGTTTGAGGGTGTCAACTGTCCGACACCCGGATGTGACGGGACCGGACATATTAACGGATCATTCCTGACACACCGCTCGTTGAGCGGCTGTCCTATCGCCGGACAGACAGTCAAAAAAGCCAAATATTCTGAAGAAATTCCGTTCTACGCGAAGGGATATACAGGTATGTCACATCACCAGACTATCTCAAAATTTGCTTTCTTATTATTTCTGTAGTTTTCTTTATTATTTCACGTTTGTTGGTTTTTTTATTTTTAATTTGTTTAAAACTTATGATTTCCTATTTTATTTATTCTTTTCATTCATTTATTTGTATGTTATATATTTAATATATATACTCAAGGACGCGCATTCTAAAATATTTGTATTTCAGATATAATGTATTATTAGAAACTAATTGTAAACCCACAAAGTTAAAAGTTACTGTGATATGGAGATATACTATATTTTCAAAAAAAAAAAAAGAGATAAAATAGGGCAAATAATATAAGAAAAAAAAAATGATATAATGCAAACGCAAAACTCAAAAAGAAAACTATATGTGTACATACAAATATTCGAAATTGGTTTTTGTCGCTAAACCTACCGACCGGCGAGAAACCTGACGAGAGCAATGAGAGAGAACAGAATAATTGAAAAGTAATTAAACACCAAAGAAGCGAACACACCTGATATGTGTTCCCTTTTGGGACGCCGAGTATTTGGACTAAACGGCGTTTCCTTTGTTCTAGGCATGGACAGTTCCGGGGGTGCAACTACCACCGGTCCAGGCGGAGAAGACCTGATGAGTCTGGAGGCGGAAATATCCGAGTTGCAACGCGAGAATGCACGTGTGGAATCGCAAATGTTGCGCTTGAAATCCGATATTAATGCCATGGAAAACCACCTTAACCAAGGAGAAAAAGTGAGTATCCCCCAACAACAAACCTCCTAATCCCATCCACGATGCACATATGATATTACATGTTAGCTTTTGCTTTTGGAACTTCTGTTTTGAGTTATTTTAGCAATAATGTTCGATTCCTCTGGTTACCTAACTGTCTGGGAACCAAATCGCACACCTAACATATAGTTTCATATTGTTTTCCATCGCAGCGTTTTCCCAACATATTCGGCGAAATGCAATAAAAACACAAACAATTTCTTCGTACTTCAGGAAAACCAAGTGATCTCGCAACGAAACAACAATCTGAACGAGTATTATGAGAGTCTGAGGAATAACGTGATCACGTTGCTCGAACACGTGAGGATACCTGGGGGTGCGACTGGTGGAGGCGGCGTCGGTCCAGTCGGCGCCGTTCCCACCCCCGAGAAGATCGGGCAGGAAAATTTCGACTCTTACCTCACCAAATTACAGACTCTCTGCACCCCAGAAACCTATTGCAACGAGGAGAATAGACCCCTATACGAAACTGTTAAATGTGCGCTGCAAGATTTTACTGTTCTACCCACGCCCATCTAAGCATACAGAAAACTAATAGGAGCAAGTGTCGAAGCCGAATTAGGTTTAGGAAGAAATATTCCGTTTACCAAAAAAAACAAGATGAGGAAACCTAAATTCCAGAAACATCCGTATCCGGGTAACCATGGTGTATGTTTGGTTGCATACATCATGACTACATAAAACATCTATTCTAGGATAACAGCGATCCTTACAATTTGAATTATATAAAAAACAAATAATATTTAATTTTTTTCCTATGTTTATGTTTTATTAGCAGGAAAACGAATTGAATGATTATGATGTATGCAAAGGCAACAATTGTTTTGGATCCGGAACACGCGATAAACCAAAGAGGAAATCCAAAAAAAAAAGAAATATATATTAAAAAACAAACAACTAGATTTTTTAATATAAAATTTGTACGTAATATTAAATTGTGATCAAATGTAAATAAAATAGAATTCCTTTCTAAGGTGGTAAAGGAAGGAATTTGGGATAAGAAAAGTAAGCATTGTATGATGATGATGATGATTCATTACGGAGGAAGATGATAAATAAGTAATTTGTAGATATGTTTAGGTGAAAATGTGTAAATTGTATCTGTATATAGCTCAATTTTATTAATAATCATTGTACATTCTTATACGATCCGATTCGGAAGCAAAAAAAAAAAGAGAACAAAGCAGATTCGTTTGTAAGCAAGGAACAACCCTCCCATCCCCCATCCATCCAATTTGTATATCTTGTACAAAATTAAGTTTATTTTTTACTTAGCTCGTATCCCTTCGTTGTACTATTAATCATGTTTATTTCGATTGTGCTGGGACCGAGAAAAGATTTAAGAAAACCAAGATATTCTTTATTTCGCCTTACGTTTACCCTATGATTTCGTTAATTTCTGATTTAGACCTGTGATTATGTACACCTAGTACTTGTATAGTCTGCTACTTATATTAATATCGATACTAGTGTTGTTTATGTAAAGAAGAAGAAGAAGAAAATCTCAAAATTTGTGCAATTTAAATGTAAAGGCGGAGTGTCTCTCTTTCTCTCACGAAGTGTTCATAACTAAAAAAATAAATTTAAAAAAAAAGCAAATCTTAAGGAATTAAGCGAAATCAGTGTTTTTTCGAAATGAAGATGATCGGTTGCGTTTCATTTGTTTTATTTATTAATGATTTTGTCTTACAAACTATAATTTCTTCGTTATTTATGATAATATATGTACATAATAAGTAAATTATATATATATAAATATGAAAGAAAACAAAAGTTATAGTGTATTATTATTATTATTATTGATGATTATCTTTTGATTTATATTTCTGAAAGTATTATTTGTTTACACATAAAGTATATATGTTAACATACATGTGTTGTTATTATAAATAAATGAATGACCTATAAGTCCACTATTTCATTTTCCACACATTTCTAATCAAAATTTCACCTACAAATGAAATAAAATAAGTAGGCGAATCAAGTGAATTATTTTTTCATAAACAGTTGACGTCGCTCAATTACGAAATAACAAATTTAAGAGATGCAAAAGATTGTTGATTATTTCATTAAAAGGTGGAAAAATCAGCCGATAAGACCGGCCACAAAGCATGTGGCCTACGTGGAAGAAGTGGAAGAGCAGGAAGAATCCGAGGTAAACCTAACAATATTATATAATTATTATATTAACAAAATTTTACAAACCTAGGCTTCATATGCGAAACTGACGTCAGTTCCAGATATAATAGAATGGTACATCTTTCTATACATGGAACCACCTTTCATGTTTGCAATAACCATAGCAAATTTGGTACTGCTTTTTCGGCAAACGCATAAGGTTTTGAAACAACATTCAACTTCAATTAATTCTTATAGTTTATAACTTTTTAATTTCCAGATAGTTTTTCACGGTGAAGATTTTAACAAAACCGTAAAGCTGATGCTGAAAATCTGTTGCTACAGTACCATTTTCATAGAAATATGTTCATCAGTTTTCCATCGCCTGTACAAGAAGATAGGTGCCAGAAGACCTGTGAAACCAAGGAGTTGGAGTAAATAAGATTTATAAGTAAAAAAAAAAAACAAAATAATTAACATTTCCAAAAAAAAAAAACAGCCATCATTGTTATCGATATCATTTGCCAGACGATTTCGATTATTCTCTACGAGAGTCGTCAATATGGAAGTTACGCAATTTACTATTTCGAAATGTTTCGCCTCATCAAACTGATCATAGTTTTTCGTAAGTTTTTTGAGAAAACCGTAACCCTGAGTTATAAAAAAAAATTATAGGATTATTGTCGATAACACCAGGGAAGCATAATATATTTTATAATGTTATGAAATTTGCTTTGGTTATGTGCTATGCAATTCATATAGCTGCTGCTACAGTTCAAATGTTTGATGTAATCCAATTTTAATATCTATCCCTAATAATTATTAAATTTTGTTCTTTTTAAGATTTCTTTAAGAAGCACTCAAGACACTTGGCTGGAGAATTTCGTTTATACCATTATTTCAGAGACACCAAACGAAACCACCAACTACACTTTTCTACTCTTAAACGTTTTAGCAGCCAGCAGCAATTTAGGGTAATTCGATTTAAGTAGTTAGTTTCAAGACTAATGGATTTTTAAAGATTGTATGGCGCTTCTTTGAAGAACGACAGTGAAGCCTTTCTGTTGATTATACTGATGTGGCTTGGTATGTTTCTTTTGGATGGGATATTTCTGGGATCTTGCACATCGATACAGATCGAAACCTATCGCATCAAAGCGACTTTCTATAATAACCTGAAGTTGATAAATAAGACCTTGGTATGACTGTTTAAAAAAAAAGATAAATTTACTAATTTATGGTTATTACAGGAGGATTTCAGAGTACCTAAGAGAATCAAGGTACGCATTAAACGTTACTATATGGTGTTTTGGGCTAAAGAGAACGCAACGTCTTCATCAAAGCTCTTCAGATCATTACCATTATCTATACAATCGAGGATTTTAGTGGATAAATACTGGAACATTCTAACAATGGTACTTCTGAAATGCGTATTTATATTTAAACACAATTGATAATATTGTAGCCTAGCATTTTTCAAAATCTGCATACTGGATTCAAACGAGGTTTGTCCCAATTGGCGCAGACATGTATATATGCGGCAGGAGAAATAATTTTAACTCAACATATGGATAGAGACATGATTATGTTCATTACCAGAGGAACTATACAGATTTTGTCGCCGGAAGATTTAGAAAGCCCTTTGTTAACTTTAGGTGTAGGCACGTGCATAGGAGAGATCAATATCATATGCAACACGAAGAATCCGGTCCAAGTAATCGCTTCCTCTTATTGCGTCATATACAGTATAAGGAAGAAAGACGTGTGGAATGTTGCAGCGAAATTTAGGAAGATGAAGCAATCGCAAATAATGCATTTCAATGCCAAAGTTCAATTTTTAAACTTAATTATATTCAATAAATTTTGAATCTTTCGTTCATTTTAGAGACAACTTGAATGGGCCAAGAACAAGTTCAGAGAGCAATCGTACGTTTAATAACAGAAGTTTAATTTGATTCTTCATTGAATTAACTTATAGGGCAGATAACAAGAAGTATCAGATAAAAAGTAGTAACATCAGGAGTCATAAATTATACAATTTAAGTGATGTATGGTATAGTTCATTATTGGTTGCTTCTTTCGTTTTATTAGTTGTTTTAGGATTTCATTGAGAAAAGTCGTGAAGATGAGGTGTTTTATAGGACTAAATTCCCTTGGGTTTTTCAAGCTTCCTCTGTGTTCTTGGTCTGCTGGAACACCATCATTGTTATAACAGTGATCGTGACTACCATAACTCTTCCGTATTACATCGGTTTTCGGAAGAAGAACGAAACGGATTTCCTTATCAAATTCATCGAGGAGTATATGAAACTGCTTTATATACTTGATGTAATTCTGCAACTGTTTGTCGTAATCGAGGACGAAAATGGTATTGAAATTTTACAGCTCTTGCAAATCGACGTAATTGCTTTCAATTGCAGGACTTCACACGAAAGTTAAAGACATTGTGTCCATCAAAGTGACGCAATTTACATTTATATTGGACGTGTTCGCTGCGATTCCATTTACCGACATGGCCGATTTCATGGGAATCTCGTTCGAGCATGAACTTTTCGAAAGACTTATACCACTACTCACTCTATTGAAATTCCACAAAGTAATAGTTGTTTATTACTTCATATAATTCCAAGATTAAGTTTTTGTTTACGAAGATCATCTGGTTCTTTTCGAAGATTGAAAACACGTTCCAGTTCAATTTGGTGCTGCTCCGTCTGACCAAATACATCACGTACCTACTCTTCGTGGCTTACCTCATGGGCACCGGTTATTACATAAGCGCATGCTACAAGTCTTCGGGCTGCGAACCCAACAGTTGGGTGGTGAAGCTCTTGGAGAAATACCCATATCTATCTTTGCAGTTCGTGTTCTTCAGTTCATCCGTTTCATCTTTACTGATCTTGGTCTTAGCCGGTGGTGGAGTTATTTTTCAAACGTGTTACGCCGATTTAATATTCACTATAATTTATGTGATTTTCGGCATTTTGATGTTCACCTACATTGCCGCAGACTTTGGAGCAACTCTCACCCTGATGGATCAATCACAGTAATCCCTATAATGAAATCCTATACCACTACAAAAGGTAATTTAATGTATTCTAGGAGCAACTTCACAACAAATCTATTAACTATTAAGAAACTGTTGCAAAAATCAATGCACAAGTCTTTGGATACTCAGAACAATTTGAGACGAATCGTGGCTTTCTTATCTTCGCAATGGCAGTTCAGCCGTGGACACACCATCAAATCTCTATTGGTGGATGCACCTCAAGATCTTTACAACGCGCATCAAAGCGCCAAATACAGCGCCGTCTTAAAAGAAATCATACTGTTTCAAGTAAATTGTTATAAAATCTAACGATATAAATATTTAATTGATGGATTTTAGGGCATGGGTGATAAGTTTTACTCAATGCTGGCTACGAAATGTGTGCCTGAGTTCTACGGTATAGATGAGATCTTCGTGTATGGTAATGAAAAATGCACGGATATGTACATAATTGAAAGAGGTTTTTGCGAGTTGATCTCTGGGAAGAATCGTCGCTTGGAAAAAGTCTTAGGACCTGGATCCACGATCTGCATCATGGAATTACTTTTAGGCAAGTCTTAGTAATTATTAGATTCAGTGTTATGAATAAATACATTTTAGGTCTAAACAACCTGTTCTTTGTTAGACCATTGACCAGCTTAATGGTTCTAAAAATTACAGACGAAAGTATATATGATGTCATAAGACATTTTCCAAAATTTGAAACAGATCTGAAGGAATATAAAGAGGAATTTCTTGCTTCTATGGTAAGCAAGTAAATATATTCTAATTATAAATAATAATACATAAGAAGTACAGGCTTCAAGAAGGATTTTCCAAGATCAAATCGTTTGTCTAGTGTCGATGGATAATCAAAACGAAATGCCTTCATTCTTTATATTTCCTAATGATAAAACTGAACCCTTGTATAGGGATTTCATTATGGGATGGGAGCAATGGAACGGACTCAAGTATATCCCATCAAACAACATTATATTTTTCAGTATTTTGAAAATATTTTCTTGAAGGTACATAATGATGCCTTTGACGATTATGCCGGATGGAAAATTCATCATAATCTATGAAATTATCTACAATTTAATATCTTTCTGCCTCATCAACATGTGCTTGACCATAGACGTGTGGTTATATTTGAGTCCGAAATTCTCGCATTTAATATACACCATGCAAGTAATCCAGTTGTTTAATATGTAAGTTAAAAATATAAAAAATTATATAACAATAAATCGAAAATTTACAGCTACGCCCGTTTGCACGTTTGCTACTACAATGAGAACGGAATTCTTGTGACACATCCAAGGATGACAGCTCGGAATTACTTAACTGGAGCATTCTTGACCGATATAGTAGCATCCATTCCGTTAGATCTAATTATTTACACTTTCAGCGATTACAGTAATCAATCAGTGAAATTCAGCGAGTCTGTGTATTCTTTAAACAGATTACTATCATTGTACAGGTTTCCTTTATCACTTTATTACTTCACCAAGGATGAGTTGAAGCCACGTGGTGCTGTAGTGTATGTACTACTTTAATAATTCCAAAACAAATGTTGCCAGTTACGTTTTTAGTACAATTTTGAAATATCTTCCTATTACTATTGTCTTCATGAATGTGTGCGTCGCGATTTTATTGGCTGTATCGACTACGATTACTTCGGATGAAGATAATCAGACAATATTGAAGCCTAGCGAACGCTCTTTTGCTGAGCACATGGCCAATTTATTTTCATGTAAGCATTGCTAGTTTCTCAATGAATTAATTGATTATTTTCAGAGTATTTTCAGTTAATACTGATATGAAGACTACTCCGGGTTATATGTATTTGCTGTTCTTCTTTTGGGTCACCACGATTGTTTCTCAATACGGCCTCAGCGGAATCATGCCTACCCAAGTTTTGGATATGGTACTTTTCACTTTGATCATTATTTCTGGTAAATATTACATTACTTAATTGATATGAATCATCAAATGATTGTTTCAGGATACTTGTTGTTTACTTACATCTTGGTGTTGATTACAAATAGCCAGAAGAAAGTGAATAGCCATCTGATCAAGCATCAGAATCATATGAAGCACGTTATTCGGTTCATGAAAGAGGAGAAAGTGGACAAGAAGCTGCAGGCGTAAATTCCACCTTTCTTTTCGTAAATCACTTGCACTCTCCGATGCTTCCAGCAAGGCCATCGAGTACTTCGAATTCCACTGGCAGCAGAATCACGGCTTGACCACGCAGCATTTACTGAACAAGTGCCACAGGGTGCTGTTCGTTGATTACATGTACGATCAGTACAAGAGCACGTTCTACCAAGTGCCGATCTTCACCAACCTAAACTCGACCTTGTACCGGATGTTCAGCAGACATCTCAGGAGAGCCATCATGCTGCCGGATATAACGTTCATCCGTTTGAACGATATTGTTTATCACATATACATTATTCATACGGGCGAGGTGCGGGTCCTCGATGCTCGAGGAATGGTCAAAGCCATCTTACGCTGCGGATCGTATAAATTACATGCATTCTCCATTCCACATCATTTTTTTATAATTGTACATGTTATAGACTCATTGGTAATTTGGATAATGTCTCTGGAAGAAGAAATATGGTATCGTTTGAATCAATTACTTCAACCGAACTCTTAGAAATACCCACGACCCTCTTCTATTCCATTATGTCATCGTCCGTGTGCACAAATTTACAGAAAAGTATTATATTAGAAAACTTGGTAAATACTTTCACAGCGAAATCTAGGCAATAATCTTTTTTGCAGTCGTATGTTACAGGAAAGAAATTACCTAAAAAGGCAACTAAAACAAAAGAGAAACAAGTGGACACTGTAATATTTAGTAAAAGGTTTTTTTCCACTAATATTTTTTTTTTTAATTTAATTAATTTTTAAATTTTATTTAAAGAGATTTGCTTTTGAAGAAGGTGCTTCTCTCCAAAATATTGAACATGTCCATGATGTTCTGTTCGTATATGTCAATTTGCTTGGTTACTTACGTCTCGACGTATTACAGCGGGATGAATAACAAAACTCACTACTTAATTTACGTCTTCGACTTCTTGCATATTATAATGATAATCTTAAAATTTGTAACACCTTTTTACGATAATAAAGGCCAACTGATCGTGTCTCGCAAGAAGATTAAGAGAAGGTAAGTCTATGAATTTAATTAATTTGTATTGGCAAAGTGTTAAGTAATTTTATACTTTACAGACTTATCCATCATCCTTGGTTCTACTATAACATTGCAGCAATTTTACCCTTCGAGATAATATCTATTCTATTTAATAATCACTTCAGCAACATGCACATCTTCTATCGAGTCGTCGTACTCAACCGATGTTTGCGTTTTGTAAGTGATCTAACTTATCCAGAAAAAATAATAATTTCCATCTGATTTTCTTTTCAGTACAACGTTTATAAATTCTTTAAAGATAACAACGACATTCTTAACTCCGACATGCTCATAATGAAACTCACCTCGATTTTCTTCACTGTAACCTTTGTGCTACATATCCAATCATGTTGCTTGTGCTTCTTCACGTTAAGAGGAACTACGTCATACGCCACCAATAGTTGGGCATATCAAGTCAATGAATGTAAGTTAATCAATCATTTAACAATTAGAAAAACAATATTTGTTTTTTTGTAGTGAATCAAACGCAATTGATTTGTGGCAACAAGTACATCTGTTCGCTGTACTTTGCCACGTCGGTTATGTCCATGAGCGGTTACATGATGTATCCTAGAAACGTGTACGAAGTTTGCACCGTTTTATCATTGATTCTTGTGGATAAGTTCATCATGTCCAGTTCGGTGGCAAGTCTTTCGGCTTGCATTCAGAACTACACGGCAGATTTAGCCTTCTTTGATTTTCGTTTAATGCGACTTAAGGTTCTTAAGACAACTTAAACTTAAACCACTTTATATAAATAATTTCGCAGATGTACGTAATGAAGAGCGGTATTTCTAAACCTTTATTGAAGAGTGTTTTCACGTACACCGATCAACTTTGGGCCAAATCCAGAGGTGTGCAACAACCAGTGCTTTTATCGCAATCTCCGGCTTATTTGCAGGAAGAATTAAAATCTTCCGCCTTCAAGAAACACGTTATTGATGTAATATTGTTTCAATTTTTCAAATATTAATAATTATCTTTAGAATGTTGTTTTTGGTAAATGCCATCCCGATTTCTTGAGGCAACTGATAAAAGTTATGCAGATCGAGACGTTCTTCAAAGATGACATGATCTGTCAGCAGGGCGATATTAACGAAACTATCTACTTCGTTCATCAAGGCACCGTTGATGTTCTATTCTTGACTGAAACTGAAGAGATCAAGGTTGATCAGTTGGAGGAATTGGATTGCTTCGGAATTGTAACGTTTCGTTTATTTAATTGTTATATAATATAATAGTAATTGCTTTATCTTTGAACAGATACAGGGTTTGTTCCCGAAAACTCCTCACACTCATTCCTTCAGGGCCACCACAGTCACCGTTCTTATTACGTTAAAGCTCGGCGACTGGTACATGATGCTTCAATTCTTTCCTGCATCCAAGTTCTATATTTACGATAAGATGTCGGCTATGCATTGATATTTGGTAATAAATAAAGTTTATGTTTTTTTTCTTAAACTAAGACTCGTCTACTTCTTTGGGACATGCGAACCACGTTGGAGGAGACGGCATCGGCGAGTTTTCAGAAACAATGATCCAATCGTTGTCGAATCTCCAGTAATACTTACCCTTAAAGAAATATGTTACACCTAAAAGAAAATTCATTAGTAAAAGAATTGAAAATATTATCTTCATTGTAATACCTTGAAATGTTGTAGCCGTGTCTAAATGAGTCGGCACTCCGCGCCACCTTTCCATGTTCTTTGGATAACCCTCATCCATAGTTTTGCTAGTCTCATTGTACCTCCAGAAAACGTCATTGCTAAAGAAGTAAGTTTTTTCTGCAAAGATACATTGCTAATGATTTTGCCTACAATAATTAATGCTATATTTCAAACCATTCTTAGCCCATTTGAAAACGGCATCAACGCGCTTCAAATCATGCGGTAAACCGTAATGCGCCAAAGACTTTGGACTATCTTCCACGAAAAATGTCCCATCGTAAACCCAATAATGATTACCTGGAATCAATTTTTTAATCAGAATTATATTAACAATTTATAATTAATAATAATTACCAGTGAATAAAATGATTTTCCCGTCTGCTCTCTCGTAAGCTGCGTCTATCATTCGGATATCTTTAGGAAGCTTAGGAAACATCTGATGTAAAGGTATTGGGTACCCTGGTATAATAAAATATGGTTTTCGTAACCTCCAGATGTACTGAAACGCGTTCGTGTGGATTAAAAGTTTATATGAAATTCGATATAATAATAATTACCTCTCCTTTAAATGCGAACAACTCATTTCGGAAATTGGCTATGGCATCGTAATGACCTTCGCAAATGTCCGGAAGACTTGGAGAACTCGTTGGTGGTATGTTGTGTCTGGGATCATGTCTCTTGTGATCATCTACAGATTCCGAATCTCCGTGATAGGAGACTTGAGTGTACCTTTTGGTTGTGTACTCGGTAGGTGCAGTATATCTTCTCGTTGTTGTTCTTGGTGTATACCTTCTTGTAGTTGTTGGTAAATATCTTGATGTTGTAGGTGGTGAGTATCTCGGAGATGATGTATAATAAGTTCTAGTGGTTCGTCTAGGATCATAGGTTGATGGTCTAGTTGTGTATCTTTTTGTTGTGTATCTTGGAGGTGCTGTAGTTACCTCGCGTTCGTAACCTCCATTATTATCGTAATCATCGTCAACTACTTCTGGTTTATTTGGTTCGATATCATTAGTATCATCGCCTTTCAATCTACGTTTTACTAAAGTTAAAATAGTTAACAAAAAGTTTTAATAAATCACATTAATTATAAACTCACTGTACAACTCATACATTCCTAGAATATCATCATAATCAAGATTGGCACTATTCGAATTACCAGTGTAATAAGGAAACATCACAGAACTTGCTACAGGTGAATGAGATAACCCCAAGGAATGACCCAGTTCGTGAACGGCCACCGAAAAGAAGTTAATTCCTGAAACAATTTAATTCTCAACTCAAACTTAATTCAATATGTGTTTACATTTACCATCGTCTTCGTTTGTGCTTGTTGTCCATTTCTCATCATTGTCGAAGTGGATGTCACCTCCAAGTGATTCAAATTCGTAGGGAAAGAACGCATGGGCCAGAACATTTCCAGGTCCATCGAACGGGAATCTTTTCATTACATAATCATTAACAAGTTGCATTCCTTCAAAAAACGAACGACTCACCTATCTCCATGATAACCGCTTCCAAAAGCCACGATAATATCGGCGTCAGGATTCGAAACTTCTCGGAAGTTCAATCTACCATACCTTGCCCAAGTGTCTAAACCTAAAGAAATATACTTAGTCACTTCCTCTTTACTCAATGAACCAGGCCAATTCGCAACACTGAAACAGTATTAATTTAAAAACAAAACAAGAAACGTTTGTGGTTTGACCGTATTAAAATTAATTGTTATTTTAGTCATAACAATTTGCGGTTGAATACTCGAACTCATTACAAAGACTTACAAGAAACTGATGTTGCGCTTAGTCCAACCAGCAGGTCCCAAAATGAACCTTTTCTGCCTATCTTTGTGTCTTATAACATCAGCAACTCCGCATCTTGGAGATACCATTAACTAAATTCAATTATTAAAAAAAAATCAAATAATATACATTTTTTTTTTATTGAGAAATATCAAACCTTTAAAGTATCGTTATCCAATTGGCCAGTTTGTGGAATAGCCCCAAACTTCTGGATATTCTTAATCACGTTCTCCAAACCGCTTTCTGTGAATAACGCTTCGGAGTTTCCGTCCGTTTCTTCGATGTATCCATACTTTCTCATGAACTTGAACTACAATAAATAAGTCTTTACTGGTATTATATGGTATATATTGTAAATACAAACCGCATCTGCTGAAGGTATTCCATTCTTCGCTGAAGGAAAGCATTGGATGGTTGAGATGATCGCGCTGATTATCAGCACAAAACCGCAATTCATGTCGCCCGTGTGTCCTCACTAAAAATCGAAAACGTCTTTCAAAAACAATGCGATATATCCAAATGAGTGAATACATTAGAATTACGCAACAGTCAATAACGATTTTTTTGAACTTACAGTAGCTACAATGTATGTCTCAATCAGAATAAATATGATTTAGATTGATTTTGATACAGCTCAAAGATATTATTCATGAATTAAGTAAATGTTTGCAATTTTTATCAATGATACATAAATAAGTGAGTGTAACTACTTACAATTAGTAATGTACCACCATTTATGGTAAAATGAATGTTGCCTTTTAAATCTAGACACGTTCAGATGCTAACGTTGTTACCACAAGACTAAGTGTGTTCCCAGTTGGGGAGAGATTAAAAAGGTCTTGGGTTTTTTTACATCGTGAAACACTGATTAATTTGTAAGAAATGCGAGTACATTCATGGGCGAGACAAGGAATGGTGTAGTATTATGCGAATCATTCGCACCGTAAAACCGGTTCTTGCAGGGATCCCCAATTCCCGATGACTCAAATTAGAAATCACGACCATTGATTAATTCTTAATTATTACAGATTTTGATTAAGTAATAACTTTACGTCTATTTAGATAACATTCGAATAGTTGTCAATTTTGTCGCGGTGACGTTTTTGTAAAGTTTTTATATATATATTTTTTTATATCATCTTTTGCGATGGAGGAGAATACAGCTTCGGTAACTAATACCGTGGAGAAGAGCTCGGAGAAAGGAAACTTCACCATTCCAGAAGAAGAAGAGGAACAACAACAATTAGAGTTTAATTACGAAGAGGATGAAGACTTCCTGAGGATCATGAGTACTTTAGAAGAAAACACTTCTTACACTACTTACGATTACAGCTCGTACACTTCGGTCTCGACCATGGGGACATCTAATGATTCTCAAGTTATGGAAGATTTAAGGAGATATAAGATTCTGGATGATGAAACCGAGGAGTATTCCACGACGACGGATTCAGATCATCCTTGTGGATGCTTGAACCGACCGGACACGGATATTTTTCCGTCGCATTCGGAGATCCTCTATGATGAACTCATGAACCAGCAACAGTACGAAGGAATGGATGAGAAAGGAGATGATAGCACTGAAACTGTCACGGATTTTACAGATTCGGATGATTCAGATAAAAGCTTAAATCCTCTAGTAGATACATCAAATTAATATATTAGTAAAATTCCTAATTTTGAAATGAAATCCCAGATTCTGCAATGGTCTTTCGGCGTGAACCTCTCCGTGCCAATATTGAATTTAACAGAGGGACACAGAAAGTTGGTTTTCTTAGCAGCATCTCATAAGGGAATCATCTATGATTACAGCAAACACGATATGACCTACGTGAATGGACACGTGAGTTACAGAACATTCAGTTTCAGCTACAATTGAACATTCTCTTTTTTTTATAGGCGAACGCTATTAAATCCTCTTGCGTTGATGAAAGTGGCAGATGGTTGGCCACTTCTGATTATGGACTTAACAATTCTATAATAGTTACGGATATTTTATCTAGGTAAATGCAATTATTTCAAAATTTTTATTACCATTACGATTTGTTATAATAGAAGCACAGTGTTAACTATAACCCAAGAATCTGAAGAATCCAGCGTATTGTTAATGGCTATGAGCTACAACGCCAAATATTTGGTTACAATTACCAAGCAAGAAGGCATCAATATAAACATGTTTCTGTGGTCTTTTGGCGCTGATACTCCAAATGGTAATTCAATTTAAATTAATTCTAACAAAATAATTGTTTTTTTTATGTGATTCAGACACTTATGTATACACTGGGAAGAAGCAGCTTGGAGAGCCAAAGAAGATAGTTTTCCATCCAAACGCTCAAAAATACATTATGATTGCTTTCGAACGACAAATTTTATTCATGAAATGGGTATGAATTCATTAATAATTATTTATTTATTATACTTTTTTCTATTGGTTTTCAGAGCAATTCGAATACAAAGTTTTGTCAACCTGTGATACCGAAAATCAAGAAAACTTTAGGCACAATCACCGACTGCACCCTGGTCTCGGAATGTCACGAATGCTTTGCGTCGACGACTGAAGGTTTCATAGTGATATTCGGAAGTTCATCGTACTCTGAGCAATTCAACGAGCACCGAGTCATCAATACCAAATCGTTCATCAAGGCCATCAAAGTGGCAAAATATGCGATTACAACAATGACCACAGTTGATGGGTATACAAAAGTAATTAATATACAGCAAAATCTTTTGCTAAACAATAAATTTGTTATCAGTATTATCGCATGCACGGATAGCCGAGGAACCATCAGGTTTCTGGATACGGGAATCAAACTGCTCTTCTGGATCAACAACAAGCACATACCAAACATTGAGCAGATCAGCTTCAGTCTCTCAGCCAGAAAATACAAATTCGAAGATCCGTTCGATTTCCAAAACAGTAATATCATTAACATTAATAATTTATTAATGATTTAATTATACTTTTTTAGATATATTTCGCATAGAAAGCTTGAAGGAGTTTATCGAGATGAGTCCGGAGGATAGATCGGATGAGTTCGATGTGCTCTACCTGAACACAGTTCCATCGGAGACTTCGCTGGAACACAAACCGTTTATAACGAGAAACTTTGTGGCTGGTGAGATTTGCATACAATTTAAATTTTTGTTTTTGTATGCAAATTTGCTATTATTTGCAGGATGCGAGAACGGAAATGTATATTACATCGATTATGTCAATAACATCTACAATCCGCTCTTCAATGTCGCCGATTCCGTGGTCTCCGCAATTGATTGTTCTGATGAAAAGTTTAATTAGATCATTCATTTTTATACTGATCAGCAACAATTACTGTTTTCAGCCCATTCTTAATCATCGCGTACAAGAACTGTCGAGTATCCATTTACAATTTCATTACTAAAGAGCTTCTGGTCACTAAGTTTGTGGGAAGAGTACCAGATGAAGAGGAAACATTCGTTCCCACCTACATTAAGTATTCACCGAAATGTGAAATTCCATACTCACCAATAGAAATATTCCTTACACGATAATTGCTTCAGCCTTACATTTGTGCATGGCAACATCTGTTGGTACTATCTGGTTCTTGGATCCTCTACTAAATCCGATCAACGATAAAATGCCAATTAGCGTAACAATCCATACCATAAAGAAGGTCTGCTATTCACCAGATGCCAAATATTTAGCTTTGTTTGTACGTTTAATTTGAGAACAAAGATTTATTTATTTTTATTAAACAACGTAATTGCAGGATACCAATAAAACCGTTTACTTATTGAAACACTCGCATCACAGTTGGGAAGTGATTGGAAAGATCAGATCGCATTACAAACCTTTAACCGATATTATATTCGTGGATACCGATTTGGATCCTCTGAAGCTGTGCACAATTGGCGAAGATCGATATTTAGTTGAATATGACCTTGATAATGGGTAATCAAACTTATTTAATTACTACATTAATCTCCATGAATAATTTCAGTGAAGAGAAAATAGCAATTCAATCCAGATTAAGAATAGAGCAATCCGCTTTACCACTATGTTTCCTGCACTACACCAACAAATGGCACAAGGATTATCTAATGGTTTGCAACAGCCAGGTATTAAATAATCTTAGATTCAATGTAGTATTTAATTGATTTGTTATATTATTATCAGCAAAAGTATAAAATGTTCAATATGGAAAGTAGGATGTGCAGATCGATAGTTTTGGGTCCTGCGAACGGTTGTTACGGCAGTTTACCTTTACTCAAGATAATGGTAATTTGTTATTACCTAATCATCGGTTTATTATGTAATAAATTATTTAAAGAATCTACCTGGATTCATTGGAAGATACATGATTTTCTCCAACAAGAGTTACATAGGTATTCAGAAAATGCCTCCGGATGGGAATCCGTACAGATATATTGGAGTTAAAGGGAATCCGCACGTAAGTTTTAATCATTAATCTAAATTAATTAAAAAAATATAATTTTAGTTACTGGATTTTACAATTAGCGGTGATGGAAATTATATTTTCACTTCAGGCGTTGAAGATACTTCCGTTCTCATGTGGGAAGTGCATAAAGAGTAAATTGAAATTAAATTCTGTACAGTTAATTGTTAATGGTAACATGTATTAGGTGCGTGGATATGCTGCAACGTCTTGGAGGTGTCGAATTGGAACCTTTTTACTGCTTGATCGAAGGCGGAGTTGAAGGATGGTTTTTCAAGGAGATGCAGGATCTTTTCTGTTACATGCAGATCTTACATCAAGGCGATATGTATCACGAGCAGAGATTTGGAGAGAGTTTAGCACTATGCGAATTACCTGATCTTATGAGAGCTTGCGGTTATTACCTCAGCGAATTCCAGGTAATAATCATAATGGTAATCAATCATACCATCTATCATATCTTTATTTTTAAGGTTGATCAAGCTCTGAACGATGTTAAATACAGGAGTTTCGATGAAACCGGACAACTTCGAGATGACATAACTTTCGTTGAGTTCGTCAAGCTGTATATCAACCATAGACCTGCCAACGGGATTACGATGGATGAGCTGCAGACACATTTCGAAGCTTTGAAAGAGCAACCTTCTGAAGTTGATTGTTGGTACGTGAACAGGTCGAGCGATAAAGAAACTCTTGTGAAGAAGCTGTGCGAAAATGGTAAACAAAAAAATTATAATCCAGGTTTTTTTTTAATTTCTAATTATTTTCAACCTAGGTGAAGCTTTTAAAGAAATCACTTTGCATAAGTGCCTTAAAGTTATGGTGCATTCGCATCACAGGTATATGCAGTCAATGGCAGAATCTCATACAGAATTGTTTTCATATTTGCCAGATGTAAGTCTCAATTCCTTAGATTATGATACAAGTACAGAAGTTTAACATAGTTCAATTTATTTTTTTTTTAATATTTTGGTATATTTTTCAATAGTAATTATAATTTTAGATTAAGTACATTTCATAGTTATATAATTGATTCCAGGATATTGACTTTGAGTATTTCACCAAAGAACTCTTGGGGATAATGCAGGATTCTCTTTACGAAGAGATGAGGGAACGAGAACAACAAGAAATACTGGAAAACGATGATTAATTCAAATATAAAACTTTGTAAGAATCATTCATGAAACATTTATTTGTATTAACTACGATATTTTAATAAATTTGAAATTTCTTTGCTTTTGTCAGAGAATGCTCGATGAATATTGGTTGGGTAAGTAGAGTGATGTAATCACATTTTAATTTCTTTGTGTTGTACGCATCAAATTTTACATAATATAAGTACAGTAAATTTATTATTAATAGAAGATACAAACAAGTTGTCATGTCTTATATAATAGATAAGATTAGATTTTCTATGCAATAGTAGTTTTCTACAGTACTAAAAGGAATTAACAACAGTTTAAATGAAAATAAAAAAGTGTCCCGTCTATCGAAATCCCGAGTGTATCAAAATCCCGACGTTCGAAATCTCGGCTGGCTCAAAATCCCGACTATATTGAAATCCCGACTATATCGAAATCCCGACTACCATAATCCAGACAATCAAAATCCCGACTATATCGAAATCCCAACAGTGTCTTTTATTATTATAAATTTCTACAATAACATTTTTTTGGTAGTCGAGATTTCGATATAGTCGGGATTTCAATATAGTCGGGATTTTGATATAGTCGGGATTTTGATTGTCCGGATTATGGTAGTCGGTATTTTGACATAGTCGGGATTTCAAGCGTCGGGATTTTAATACAGCCGGGATTTCGAACGTCGGGATTTCGATAGACGGTCTTTCGGTTGTCGGGCTTGCGATATAGACCTAAAGAAACATATTGAAAAGTTATAAATCTTTTTAAATAAGAAAAAAACGAATATAAATATAATTTTTAATAACTGATTTTCGTAATTGCTTTATGAAAGACTTATAATAATCATGAAAAATTCATAAAAGTAATAAAATTAGGACTGTTGATCTCTTTATACGTGATTAATGTACATTTGGTTGCATAACCTTGTAGATTTCGAAAGTTAATTGGATATTAAGATTTTAAAGATTTGAAAACCTGGCACGATAATTAAATCATAGAATATGTAAATTTAAGATAAATGTATGATCTTATAAATGAGCCAATTGCCACATTTATAGAATTTATCATTTTCTTGTAACAAATCAAACATCTGTGATTACAATTTTTTAATTAAATTTAATAATTATGAAAATTTTGATAATTATATCAATTTTGTATATATACAAATATTATATATGTATAGAAAATTCTAAGTTATACAAATTAATAAAAATAAAATATGAAATTTACTGAAAAACTTTGATTACTTGCAAATTTCACTTCACTTTCATTTGACAAAGTTTTGAACAATAATTGTGTACATTTTACTGTACTTATTAAAGTAAATGCGTTATGTTTTTACTATAGAAAAAAAAGATAATAATAATATTTATAATAGTATTTTCTTGCGGTGATTGTGTTTCGCGAAGCGTATAAATAAATAATTGTCTATTGGTTTATGGTCGATAATGATAAAGAGAAAATACAATTTAATGGTTAATGATCGCGAAGTGGAATGAGAAAGGCGGGTCTCCGATGGTAGTAGCTGTATGGTAGTAGGCCTGCAAAGCCGGTAGGCCGAAGGAGTAGAAGAGGACCACTGCTTTCTCTTTGCGCGCTCCGCATCTAACAGACAAATAAACAACGGACGGGCTTTTCAGTTTCGTGTTTACATGTGTGGTGACCGGTAGTTTGATAGGACTTTACAGTCGGACTTTATTTTTTTTATCCTGATTCCAATAAGGCACGTGTCACCTTATTCTTTACGGCAAGGTAACATTCATTAACACCTTTTTATAAAAATCGAATCAATTTTGTGTTAATTTTTTTACAAATAATTTCATTTTTTAAATAAAACAACATTACTTTAATTGTTACAAATTCAATCCTAATAATTATAATAAAATTCTTAAAAATGGAGATAATTAAAAAAAACTTCAAAAAGTACAGACAAAAATTTTCAATATTAAATTATAATATAATTGAAATTCAGTGGAACTTCGCTTAACGAGTTTAATCTATTCCAAAATTTCCGCATTTTTACTCATATAGTGAAACATATTCAAAAATACAAAAGTTTTAAAAATGATGTATCAGGGACTTCTCTTCTCATCGTTAAGCGAGTCATTTTGCTCGTTAAGCGAGGTTTCACTGTATATCCATTACATTTTGTTTATGGCCACTCCATACTTTACAAGTGGAACAATCAACAATTTAATACTTGTCAGGTAGGAAAAACCTACGGTCAAAGCCCGTACATTTGCATACATTATTAATAACAATACCTCACAGCGTTACGCAATAAACGTTGTCACACCATTGTGATATTTGATTTAAGATAATTAATGTTAATGTATTAATACAGCGCATTCAAAGAGAACAATAAAACTTTAACGCAGACACAAAAAAAAATATAATTTGTTATTATAATACAATTGTTTAATGACAAAATATTTATGTAGGAATTCACTTTCGGCATGAATAAATGCATACAATCATAACGATTCAACGTTTTTAAACTTTGTGAGCAAAAATATACAATAAACTAATTGGTTTTTATTTCAATTTTTTATAATTAATTGTAAATTAAAACAAAAAAAAGTGAAACTTTTGTAATGAATAAAACGAAAATATATGTGATTTTTTGGGCGTTAAATTTAGTTGGAATATTCGTTCACCGTTTGATTCTATGAATAATTCATAATTGTAGGGATATTACTGTAAGTTTTATTCTTCCTTTATAAAGAAGTCAGTTAAAAATATTTAGTTTTTCATTATTTAAAATTAACTTTGATTTCTGTAAGAACATTGATAATTTAATTATTTCATTATAAATAAACCTTTTTTATATTTTGTTACAATTTATACCAGGAAATTAATGAAGTTTGTACGATGTATGGATTTTGTACGAATTCTTTCATATTATAAATACAAACAAAATAGTGTAATAATGCGTTTCAATAATGTACTTTAAATAAGTTAACATCGTGCAGCTTCTTATTGTTACGTAAAAGCCTTCGTTGATCTTTACCATCGCCTCGCCTCGCTCAATAAATACTATTCATTTCAAAGCATTGTCGTGTCCCAGGGTTAAGAAATCCTTGGACACCGACAAATATACATATTAATTATACAATAGATGACAATAAATTGGTCGGCCACGACAGCATATAAAGGTAAAATGATCTTATTTTTACCTTGCTCTGAATAAATAGACCATCATTTACATAAAACGAACAGTAAATTAGTAAATAAAAGAGATTTTATTGCAAAATCAATTATTTGGGAAAGCAGGAGGTAAAATCTCCGAAGAATTACCAAAGTAATGATAATGATTTTAAAAAAAATCTATTGGTTACATAACAAATAAGAGGGTACTTGTCGACCTCCAAATGGAAGTAGTTGAAGAATCTTTGTATTTAAGATATTATTAACAAATAATTTCTACAAAAAATGCAATTTTTGTAATTATCAAATAATTTTCTAAATATTTGAAATAATAGAATTTTTTATAGATTAATCCGTTTCAAAATGTTCGGATTTTTACTCGTTACTCCTGAAATACTCGTAAAGTGAAACATATTCAAAAAACACATAATATGTGATAATATGTGATGTAGCAGACGCGCAATCCGGGATTTCTCTTCTCATCGTCACTCGTTATGCAAAACGTCGCTCGTTAAGCGAATCATTTTTCTTACAATTCATTTTGTTCGTTAAGCGAAACGCTCGTTATGCGAGGTGTTCGTTAAGCGAGGTTCCACTGTACTTTTATTACCTAGTATTTGTATAGTTGGAAACTATTTTTTAAAAGCCTGAAAAGGTTATTTATTATGAGCCACCGTTCACTTCCAACAGCAGAAAAGAACATTAAAAAAAAATAACTTGAACTCGGTTAATATAAATTGTAGTTTATCCAGTGGATTGCAATAGATGATAGAGTGAAAGCCGTTGAAACGCGAAACCTTATTTGAACATTCGCCTCAAAAACGGTCGCATTTTAAGTGCACCACCTTTCCTCGGCCCAAGAGCAACAACCAAGATCTATTAATCGTCCTTTCTGAACGAATTTCACGGATTACATAACGATTTTTCCAGATAAACCCCACCGATTTGTAATAAGCTTTCACCGTTGTACACAAGGAAATGATTGTTAAATACATTTTATTCAATATTTGCTTTTATTTCGATTTTGATTAAATCTATCGCTTGAAGGAAACTTTCCAAATATTCGCGTTTTTTTTTTGCATGTTACATAAACATTTACTCTTTGATTTTTTGCATTTCCTGTTACATATATTTAATCCTTAAACTTATTATTATGTGATTTATATAGACAACATTTTCAAGTTTTTACTTCAACAATATTTATGTGATTTTATCATCAATTAAGAAATAAATTACATAAAACTGTTTACAATGATTCGAACATTCATTAATGTAATTAAATTAAGAAATTTGTTCAATCTGTTCCACAAAAAAATTAAGTAAAATGAAGAAATGTAGTGTAAATTGAAACAGTTGAGCGGAAGAGGCTTTGCCAGAATTTCTCTGAAGGCTAAATTACATAATTCATTTCGCAAGGTTACCGATGTTTGTTTTATATCTAATATTCAATGCATCTATGCAAATATTTTTACATTGACCTTGTGCACCTTGGAATAATAAAAAAAAAGAGATACAAAAGACAAGAGAAAAAAAAATCTGTTTGGTGTTAATGAATGAAATACATTTGTGAAATTGCACAGTTTTAATGGAATAATAATTGTTGCTCATTATGTTTTAATTACAATTTGTTTGCAAGGAAAACAATTAGTAGAATTATTAAATACATAAAAATTTCTCTAAAAAACGTAATTTCTAATGATTTATTTTAATTGATTTCATTATTAAATTAGTATATTTTCCAAAAATTATTAATATATTTGTCTTAAATTCAATTGATTTGAATGTTTCATCATGCATATGATTGTTATTAAGCAGTTTTTTGCAATGATTTTAATTTTGTACAAGCATCAACGTTCCAACTTTTACTCTCCGGTCATTAATTATATAGGAGTGTAGAGGTATGAAAAAAATGAGCAAATAAAGAACAGGAAACTGACATCAAAATTACACGTTCGGAATCATTGATTACCCAATGGATGTGAGGAGAGAATCATGTAGTAGAGAGAGAGAGAGATAACTAAGAAATGAAAAGTGAAGGGCCTACGCGAAGCGAAGAGAGAAACAGAAAAGTTTCGGTTTCCATTTCGTCTCTCCGCATGAAAGTGAAACATAATACGTAATAACGAGCGTTTCCTATTCCCACGGAGCGAAGAGATAACGTTCTTCTCTCTGTATGCAAAACTAATATAACAACAACAACAACAAGAAGAAAAAAAATGTTTAAGCGGTTGATGCAAACTAGTAGCAAAAATTAAACGCGATATGCTCGTATTCTGCTCCAGAGCACAGCCTCATTGTTACGCTTTACCATTGTTATGTCACACGCTGGATGTAGTGTACCTGCACAATTTTCCGCCCACGCACCCACCGGTACGATGCAGCCCAGTAATAACTAGTTTACTGCATATTTATGAGCTCCGGCGGACAGGAAATCGTATATTAAACTCATTGTTTTGTTCTTCTGTTCGCAGGATGCCAGCGGACGAGCTTTATTGGAATCCGATGGAATTGGAAAGCGACGAGTCGGTGCCGTACCCGAAGCAGTACATAGACCCATGGGATTTGGAGAACTACGCTTACATCCGTCAGCATTTGGATTCGGTCGATCTGAATTCATCAGATCCAAGCAGTTTGGGTGAACAGGAGTCTTCAGGGTTGTACCATGTACCGGGGAAGTACGAAGGAAGGCCGAGAGGAAGAGATCATCAGTATTATTCGCCGCAGTACGATTCGCTGATGAGATCTGAGCATGGAACATCCAATTACGCCGCGATCGATGAGCTTACGGTACAAAACGATGCGATGCGTAACAGAAGATCGAGCAGACCGTCGGCCAATCAAAATAGAATTTACTCTCGACATCCCGATGATTACGGTAAGGAAGTTGTCGAAGAACAAATGCTTCTGTTAATTAACAACAACAACAAAAAACATTGGAAAACACAGCTTTACAACAAATTTATTCATTGGAAATGTAATTGGAATCTACTTAACTACGGAATAACATAAATAACTTTAATTAATGATATTGTTACCAACTATTCGAAACTAATTTAAAGTCAATCAAATTCAAATTGGACGCAGTGCGAATTCGACCACATTTCTGGAGTGAAAGTAGTAGTAGCAAAACTATCATTAGAAAACTAACGAATTAGAATATACTTTAATTTACAATATTTTATTTAATTAATCTCAAGATTTTCAAACCTTTATTATTAATTATCATTACGTAACAATAATTATATCAAAAGTTAGTTAGTTTCCTAGTTTAACTAAAAACTTCGTTAATGTATTTTCTCTTTTTCACATTCTCAAAAAAGATCAAATTTTAGTTATTAATTAATTAATAATAAACATAATTTATTGCACAGATGTTGTTATTGACCGCAATCTTTTAGACTTTCAAAGATTTGAAATTAAAATAATTAGATAAAATGTGAAAAAAACGCTCACATTTGACAATCTGTTACATGATAAATACTAATACCACAAATTTATCAGTGCGCTCATTGAAAAGATCACAATTTTGTCTTTAATTTGCACATTCTATGATCTAATTGGAATATGTGGTTATCACGTAATTAAATTTGATAATCTATTACATGATAAATACTAATTCCATAAATCTAGCAGTGAGTTCTTTAAAAAGATCACAATTTTGTCTTTAATTTGCACTTTTTATGATCTAATTGGAATCTGTGGTTATCGAGTAATTAATTAAAACGTGAACACGTAACAAAATCTAAAAATCTTTATAAATCAGTCAATAATTAATATTATATTACAATTGTTTTATCAACAAAACTCTCATTCTTTAAAATCATAAGATATATAATATAAATCTAACAATTTTATGTTTTATGGTGAAACTGAAAAATTAATAAATTTATATTTTTTTAGTTTAATCATATTTATTTCATAAAATGTGAAAAAAAAACGTTCAAATTTGAAAATCTATTACATGATAAATACTAATACCACAAATTTAGAAATGAGCTCATTGAAAAGATCATAATTTTGTTTTAAATTTGCACGATCTATGATCTAATTGGAATCTATGGTTATCGAGTAATTAATTAAAACGTAAACACGTACAAAAAATCGAAAAATCGTCATAAGTCAATCAATAATTAATATTATATTACTATTGTTTTATCAACAAAACGCTCATTCTTTTAGAATCATAAAATATATAATATAAATAAAACAATTTTATGGTTAAACTTCAAAATTCATAAATTTATATTTTTTTTTAGTATTAATAATATTTATTTCATCCTCAAAATATTAATTGATTTTGTTGCATTATTTGATTTAACTGAATCTGAATTTAATAAATGAAAGAAAAAAATAATTTGCATTTGCTATAAGAATATTTCATTAAATTTAAAAAAAAACATAAATCATGTAATAAATTTAAATACTGAACAAGTTTATTTAGTAGTCGAGTTTATAGGAATTTGATACACGAATTCCGCGTGGTACATTTCATAAATTATTGTACCCAAGATACGTGTGTGATTTATGCGAATGGGTGTTGACTCTGGAGGTGTGCCATGACAAAAAAAAATCGCAAAATCTAGGTGAAAATACTTGGATCTGTTCTCTAACACACTTGGCTCATTCAAGCAAATACATCTACAATCAATTTGTTTCCATTTGAACTTGCTTGCAAAATATATATCAGTTTCTCCAACCTACATAAATATTTTTTATGTTTTTCAATTAATCCATTTCAATTAATCAATGTTTACATTTCATTTACATTTCCATCAATGCATAATAAATCACTCATTTTTAAATGCATTATTCAAACTAATATGAATTCTTTAACAAAAACTTTAAGTGCTTCAAACAGACTCGAAAACTGTGTCTTATCTTTGAACTGGGATACACAATTAATTATACAACGGTTGCGTTTTGATTCTCAGACGTGAGGAGAACGTGCGTTTTTTGGTCTTGCTGGCAGCAATTGAGATTTTATGGAAGCCTTGCCTTACTTTCGCAAGTGCACTAGAAATTAATTATTCCTGTAAATCCATTCCTTTAATCAATAGCAATGCAACACGATTACGACAAGTCTACCGTTCAATAGCCTCACTTAATTGCAGTGGAATTGTTTTCTTTGGATCGGAATTCTCATGCGATTTACCATTGACAGCTTCACAATTGTTCATAGAGAACATATGAAGCAATACATTTAACATGACCAAACGCAGTTTTGTTTTTGTTCTATTTACTTTCCTAATTCAATCAAATTCTGTTTATTAATTTATATATATTAATAAATTGTAAATCTCTAAGTAAAATTAGTGTAATTACTTTTAATCACTAAGTAATTAAAAACAATTTACCGTATGTTTGAAGAAATACAGTAAATTAGATAAATACAAATGGGAATTGTGGTTTTCTCTAAACAACGTAAAAACATTGCAGTGATGGAATTTTATAGAGCGCAATACTTTGTACGTTTATTATCTATAAACAAGCATGTTGAAATATGTTCAGCAAATGTAGAAAACTAAGTGGAAACGATTAAATCGTTAGAAATCTGCGTTTCAGTAATTTTCATTAAATTTCTTATATATTTTTTTTCGTATTTATCCAAGAGTTTAATTATAGTGAGATTCTGATCTTGATTGATTTATACGAGGAAAGAGAAACCCAAGTCTCTCACACGAAGACTAATTTACACCAAAAATGACTCAATTATTGTCTGTATGCACGCAGATTGGATGGAATTTGAATGGGAAAGTGAAGCTGTGCAATTAATGCAGCCACAAAATTAGAAATTGGATTAAGAATAAATGAGACGGCATGACCAAATCCCGGGCTCGTTAAAACGCGCGCATTTCACGCCTCACTTAACGCCTCTAACCGATCTTGTTTCGCGTAACCAATTGATATACACTCTTACGTAACGATTAGCTGGAGCAGTAACTCCATTGTTCGAAAAGTTTTTTTTTTTTGATTAGCGGATTGAATCGGTTAAAGAACATCTCAATCTCATCAGAGGTCCATAACCTTTTACTTTATTTCTTATGATATAATCGTAAAAGAAATTTAATGAAATAACTGTATTTTATACATGTTTTTAAGCTTTGTTTTTTTCTATGATTTTATTAGATTTAGCGGTTATCGAATAATTAAACAAAAAGTGTAAACATATCATTTTCAAATTTGACTGCTTATAACATGAGTAGAGTAAAGATTACAAATTTAGTAATAATTCCATATGAAAGGTCATAGTTTTATCTTTAATTTGAATATTCTACGATCTAGTTGGTTTACGTAGTTATTGAGTAATTAAATAAAACGTTGAGACGTGATAAAACCATGAAAAAATCTAAACTTCAATTATGATTATTTAACAGAAGTTACATCAAAAGATGAACAATAAAAGACTTTTTTAATGTAATAACTAAATACGTATAAAGTTTAATGGTAAAAGAAATTTAATGATATAATTGTATTTTATACAATTTAGAAGCATGCTTTTAAGTTTTGTTTTTGATCTTATTAGATTTATCGGTTATCGAGTAATTAAACAAAAAGTGTAAACATATAATTTTCAAATTTAACTGCTTATAACATGAGTAGAGTAAAGATTACAAATTTGGTACTGGTCCCATATGAAAGGTCATAGTTTTATCTTTAATTTGAATATTCGACGATCTAGTTGGTTTACGTAGTTATTGAGTAATTAAATAAAACGTTGAGACGTGATAAATCATGAAAAAAATCTTAACATCAATTATGATTATTTAACAGAAGTTACATCAAAAGATGAACAATAAAAGACTTTTTTTAATGTAATAACTAAATACGTATAAAGTTTAATCGTAAAAGAAATTTAATGAAATAATTGTATTTTATACAATTTAGAAGCATGCTTTTAAGTTTTGTTTTTGATCTTATTAGATTTAGCGGTTATCGAGTAATTAAACAAAAAGTGTAAATTTATCATATTCAAATTTGACTGCTTATAACATGAGTACAGTAAAGATTACAAATTTGGTACTAATTCCATATGAAAGGTCATAGTTTTATTTTTAATTTGAATATTCCACAATCTAGTTGGTTTACGTAGTTATTGAGTAATTAAATAAAACGTTGAGACGTGATAAATCATGAAAAAAATCTTAACATCAATTATGATTATTTAACAGAAGTTACATCAAAAGATGAACAATAAAAGACTTCTTCTAATGTAATAACAAAATACATATAAAGTTTTATAATTTTTGTGTTAATGACTAAATCATAAGATTTACTAAGGTGTTCAAATAAAAAGTTTAAGAAGTAAATTAAAGTTATCGGGTAATTAAACAAAAAGTGTAAACATATAATTTTCAAATTTGACTGCTTATAACATGAGTAGAGTAAAGATTACAAATTTGGTATTAATTCCATATGAAAGGCCATAGTTTTATCTTTAATTTAATAATTCGACGATTTAGTTGGTTTACGTAGTTATTGAGTAATTAAATAAAACGTTGAGACGTGATAAATCACGAAAAAAATCTTAACATCAATTATAATTATTTAACAGAAGTTACATCAAAAGATGAACAATAAAAGATTTCTTCTAATATAATAACAAAACACGTATAAAGTTTTACAATTTTTGTGTTAATGACTAAATCATAAGGATTACTAAGGTGTTGAAATAAAAAGTTTCAAGAAGTAAATTTAATTGTCATAATATTATTTTTAGCTGCGGTTTTTCTGCGAGAAAGACGAACGTTGAATAAGCAATGCCGTTTTTCTTTAATTCACACAAGACTGGCTACAAAAAAACAGCTAGAAGTGTTAAATATATTTTTTTTATATCAAAAAAAAAAATAAAGACGCGGCCTCCATAATACATGATGA